TGACATTACTAGAGGCCTGGTGCACAAAATTTGTGCACTCGGGGGGCGGGGTGGTCCCTCAGCCCGGCCAGCACCCTCTTGCAGTTCTGGAGCCCTTGGGGTACAAGGATAGAGACTTAAGCAGGACTGTGTCCAGGAGTTTGGATTTCTTTTCTAAATATAATTGGAAGTCTTTGAAGGTTTTAAGAATGCGTGTTGTGACCTAGTATATGATTTTAAAAGGTTACTCTGGCTACATTGTGGAAATTTTTGGGAAAGAATTTGGAAATTATGGAAAATTTGGAAAGAGAAGAAGAGGGGGAAGTATGATAGGATGTTTTATAGTGGTCCAGACAAAAGATGATGGTTTGGATTCGGCTATAGGCAGTGGAGATGGAGGAGAGTAGAAAGATTCAGTATATATTTTGGAATTAGGACAGGCAAGACCTAATGATGGATTGGATATGTGGGAAGAGGAGGGAGGTGTCAAGTATGATTCCCAGATTTCTGGCATGAGCATCTGGATAGATGAAGTTGCCATTTCTGAGATGGAAACACTGGAGGAGGAGCAGATTTTGACTAGAGTTGGGGAGTGGAATGAAGACCACAATTTTAGTCTTGCTAAATGTGAGATGTGTGAAAACATACAAATGGAGACCTCAAAAATGGTGCTGGAAATAAATCTGGATGCTCTCGGTATATAGGTGGTGTTTACAGCCAAGGAAAATGGAGGATATTACCTAGAAGAAAGGTATGTATAGACTAGGACAGTGGTCGGCAAACTGCGGCTCGCGAGCCACATGCAGCTCTTTTGCCCCTTGAGTGTGGCTCTTCCACAAAATACCACGTGTGGGCACGCATGTACAGTGCGATTGAAACTTGGTGGCCCGTGCGCAGAAGTCGGTATTTTGTGGAAGAGCCACGCTCAAGGGGCCAAAGAGCCGCATGTGACTCGTGAGCCGCAGTTTGCCGACCACTGGACTAGGAAGAGAGGAGTGCACAGGACCCAGCTCTAAGGAATTTAAGAGAAAATCTCAGAAATGGAAAGAGGAGCATGTTGCAAGAAGGAAGTGATCCACCTGTATTTTGTTATTTTAGCAACACAGATCATTGATGGTCACAACAAGAACAATGTTGGAGGAATGTAGGGCCAGAAGCCAAATTGAAGTGGTTTAAGAAGTGAGAAGGGAGGAAGTAGAGAAATGGTCTGTATACTTTGATTATTAGCATGTCTGTCTCCCCATAAGAAGTAATACTTTAAGAAGAAGTAATATAATATGGTCCGTGATGATAAGAACAATACATTTTCATTTTTGTGTTCGTGGTTGCTTAGCCTTGGTGTCTTGCTCCTAGCATTCTTTAAAAAAAAAATTGATGTAACACAAAATTAGCCATCTTAAAGTGAACAATTTGGTGGCATTTAGTACATTTACAGTGTTGTGTAACTGCCATCTCTGTCTAGTTCCAAAACATGTCCATCACTCCTCAGTAAAACCCCTTTCCAATTAAGCAGTTTCTTTTCATTCTTCCTTTCCATCAGCAACTGGAAACAGCAATCTGCATTCTGTTTTTATGGATTGATCTGTTCTGGATATTTCATATAATGGAATCATATAATATGCATATAACCTTTTGCATATATATATATATATATATAATCTGTTTATCCATTCAACCACATTGAACACTTGGATATTGTTTCCACCTTTTGGATATTGTCAACAGTGCCACTGTAAACATTGTGTGTACATGTACTTGTTTTCAGTTGTTTTGGGTATATACTTATGAGTGGAATTGCAGGGCCCTAGTGTGTGTGATTTGAGAGTTGTTGGCTGGGCTTAGATTGGGATTGAGAATCTCTTTTCTGTATGTTTAATTTTTTGAGGAACTGTGTTCTCCTAACATACTGGTTTTATTATTTGCATTTTACTGATGGCATAATTGAGGCATAGCATCTGCATCGTTTTAACTTCCTATCATCTTCAGAGCAAGTCAGTGATGGAAGTAGGAATTTAAGACTTAATGATGTTCTTTGTCTAAGGTGACCCATTTAAAGCCATGTTGAATTTACATGAGGCTGTTTGAAATGGGCTTTCTATATTTTATATTCTCTTGAAGAGATATTGTTCAGGTGGTGTTAAGCAGATGTTCTCTTTCCGTAGAGGACAAGACAAGAGGGAATATGTTTTAATTGCAATTGAAGGGATATATATTACAAATTAGAAAGAACTTCCTGACTGCAAGATCCTGGAATGTTACCAAAAGAGGTTGTGAAATAGCTTCCCCAAAGACTTAGTAACTATCTTTCTAGGATGATTTAGGTTTGGGCTTGTTGAGAAATGAGGGAGATATGAAAGATTACTTGCTGAGGTCCCTGGTAACCCCAGAACATAATTGTTTGGTAGTTAATCAAAACAGTATTTCTTGCATTTTAATGAGTATATTATCATTTTCCTTATGAAGAAATAATAAAGAGTAGGTGAATTGCTCAAGGCCTCCTGGTAAAATAGAATATTAACATTCTGAATCTTATGCTGAGGGATGTGTTCTTTATCATATGTGTTATTCATGGCTTTATGGTATATTTTTAAATTTTTATTTAAAATTTGTTTTAAATTTATTGATTTTTAGAGAGACTTCAGAAGAAGAAGAAGAAGAGAGAGAGAGATTCGTTATTCCACTTATTTATGCATTCAATTGGTTGATTCTTGTATATGCCCTGACTGGGGATCGAATGTGCAATGTTGGCATATTGTGACAATGCTCTAACCAACTGAGCTACCCAGCCAGGGCTATTAAACATTTGTTTGTATGATATTATTTTTATTATGATTTTCTTCCTAAACCATGGGGATCAAAACCAACATCTGTAGCTTCTATAGGGTGTATGTGATTTGAGATTTGTTGACTGGGCTTAGATTCATATTGATAATCTCTTTCCTATAAAAATTAATTTGGTCTCCTGTTACACATGTAGAAATGGGAGCACATTATCAATAACAGGCTAAGATAATAGATTTTTAATTACTAGTTTAGGACATGCCAGGTTAAAATCACTTAGATGAAGGTGCACGTGATGTAAACATATTTTTGTTTGTGGTGCCTGGAGAAATAGAAACCCAGAAGGTGGGCAAATGAACATTAGATTCTGTTGCAGAACATGAACCTAAAAATATTCATTAAGTGCAATATTAAGTTTCCAGTTTAAATGCTTCACTCAGGAAGTACCAATGTTAAGGTGCTTAGAACAGCATTAACTCATTCAATCCGGTATTTAGGGTCTACCTTAAGGTATCTCGTAAGAGATCTCTTATCTCATCAAAATTAAAATCGGGCTTTGAGGTCCAAGAGCCGTTGACTGGGAAGCTAAGCTGAGTTAGGTGGTATTATCATTGGTGCCTTTAATAAAGGATCTATTAGGTTTGTTACACTTTTTTTTTTTGTAAATATATTTTTTTATTGATTTTTTACAGAGAGGAAGGGAGAGAGAGATAGAGAGTTAGAAACATCGATGAGAGAGAAACATCGACCAGCTGCCTCCTGCACATCTCCTACTGGGGATGTGCCCGCAACCCAGGTACATGCCCTTGACCGGAATCGAACCTGGGACCTTTCAGTCCGAAGGCCGACGCTCTATCCACTGAGCCAAACCGCTTTCGGCAGGTTTGTTTATTTTAGTTGAGCTATGGGAGTATTTACTTGTTTCCTGATTTGAAGATATCATCAAATACATGTATTAAGCTTTCTTTTTTGTTAATTCTCACCCGAGGATATTTTTCCATTGATTTTTAGTGAGAGTGGAAGGGAGAGGGAAAGACAGAGAGGAACATCAATGTGAGAGAAACACATTGATTGGTTGCCTCTTGCATGAGCCCCTACCAAGGCCCAGGTTGCAACCAAGGTATGTGCCCTTGATCCGAATTGAACCCGGGACCCTTTGGTCTGCAGGCCAATGCTCTATCCACTGAGCCAAACAGGCTAGGGCTTCTTTCTTTTTTAAAATATATTTTTATTGATTTCAGAGAGGAGGGAAAGGGGGAGAGAGATAGAAACATCAATAATGAGAGAGAATCACTGATTGGCTGCCTCCTGCAAGTTCTACACTGGGGATTGAGCCCAAAACCTGGGCATGTACCCTGACCAGGAATTGAACCGTGACCTTCTGGTTTATCAGTCGATGCTCAACCACCGAGCCACGCTGGCTGGGCTGTATTGAGCTTTCTTGAATTGGCAACAACTGTTACCTCTACAGGATAAAAGAGAGGGGATCCAACTTTTGAATATTTACCATATGCTGGTAATTTTATATTTGTTCTATGTAATATTCATTACAGACCTATTAAGTGGATGGTGATATCTCTTGTAAGGTTATATAAATGGTGAATGGCAAAGCTGAAATGGAAAAGACAGTCTTCTGTTTCAGGCTAGTGCTTTTTAAAATTATGTTCTTTATTCTTTTCAAAAAATAAATTTTTATTGATATCAGAGAAGAAGGGAGAAGGAGAGAGAGAGACTGGGGATCAAGTCTGCAACCCGGGCATGTGTCCTGACGGGGAATCAAATGCTCAACCACTTAGCTACACCGACCCGGTGATTGGAAGTCTCTTAATCTCATCCAACTAGGAATGGAACTCACAACCTTTTTGGTGTATGGGATGGCGCTACAACCAATCTAGCCACCCAGCCAGGGGAAGGCAGGAATGTTCTTGTTCACTCTGGTATCCTTAGTGCCTAGAGTACATAGTAGATGGTCAATAAACACTGGACTGTCTATCATTGCTTTTGCATCCCCTATCCCTTTAAAGTGTTTTTTATTTGGAAAGTTGGGAAGTGGAATCCAGCTTCTAGTCAGAGTTTAAAGTGACGAGGATCTTAAATCCAGTGTCTTATTTTGATTGGCTGAGAAATGTGATTGGCAAGGTGGAGGGGCATCTGGAACTTTTAGCATAAGAGCTCCGCACTTAATAATTTGACTTCTTTTCCTGAAGCCTTGAGGGAAACTTTTCCTTTCCCTATTCTAGTCAGCCAAGAACCTGACCTGGGCTGACTCTAACATTGGAGAACACTGAACACAGTATCTGCTGAGCCAAGGACTGGGAGTCAACCTCTGATAGTATCTGAGGGGAAAGCCTGAATTCAAATCCTGCTTTGGCGACTGACTCATCTTATGAACCTACATGAATTTCTTAGCCTCTTCCAGGTTTTATTTGTATGTGGCTGGTGAGTATTCTCATCTGTCCTGGGACTTTGAGGATCCTTGGATTAATGTTCTTAAAGCTTTTTACAATACTGTTGCTGTGGTTCCCGGGGTTTTTTCCAAGAATTGTAGGGTGCAATGTGCTCCAGGGAGGAGGGTTGGACTCTTTCCCCCCAAGACTGTAGAGAACAGAAAGATGTAATCCTTTGTGATTTGGCTCTACTTTAGTCTCCTAATACTGTTGGTGGATGAAAGGTATGTTGTTGCCTAAGTCGTTAGGCCCGTTTGCCTGAGGCAGCTGGGGTCAGTTCCCATTTCTGGAGTTAAATTGTTTTTGCCTCTGAAATTTCTTTCATCAGAAATTACCTTTTCTCAAATAAAAAAATTTCCAAAAGCTACCTTTTTTCTTTGCTTGCTAATAGAAGATCTCTTGCCAGTTTTGTGCACTTAAGAGTAGCCTTCCTGGTCTTGATTTGTTTGATAGCTTAAGACTCAAAACTTGACTTCCTTTTTCTCTAGGTTCAGTAATTTCTTTTTTGTTCTTCCTTGAGTCTTCAGGGGTTCATGTTTCTTCCTGAATACCTCCAGTATAGTTTGCAGATAAAACATCATTTCTTTGCTTTAGCTGGTTTGGCTCAGTGGATAGAGCATTGGCCTGTGGACTGAAGGGTCCTGGGTTTGATTCTGGTCAAGGGCACATGCTCGGGTTTTGGGCTCCAGTAGGGGGCTTGTAGGTGGCAGCTGATCAGTGATACTCATCTTTGATGTTTCTTCTCCCGCTCCCTCTCCCTTCCTCTCTGAAATCAATAAAAATATATTTAAAAAATGAAGTCTGTTAAAAAAATGTTTAGAAAAAAACCACAAAAATGTCATTTCTTTTTTCTTCATGCTTCTGGGATAAATGGGAGTACGGAAGATTGTTAATCTCTGATTTGGAACTTAAAGCTTTCTATTTCTAGTTTTGATCACAAACTTTCCTGTGATTTGGACATTAGGTTACATCATTGTAAGTTATTTTAGAAAGCCCTAAACCTAGTAAGTAAAATCTGTAGCAGAAAAATTGGTGCTTTTTATTCCCTTTATTATAATAACAGTAATTAAAATTTATTTAGTTTTGTATCCTCAAAGCATTTTGTGAAGTTGTTAGCCAATTTGTGATATACTGTGTAAAGTTCTGCCTTATTCTGAGTTTATATATAAAAAATGTTGGGGGTGGCCCTAACCGGTTTGGCTCAGTGGATAGAGCCTCGGCCTGTGGATTGAAGGGTCCCAGGTCCAATTCTGGTCAAGGGCATGTACCTTGGTTGCGGGCAGCTGAATTGATGTTTCTCTCTCATCGATTCTAACTCTCTATTCTTCTCCCTCTCCCTTCCTCTCTTTATAAAATCAATAAAATATATATGTATCTAAAAAGTTGGGGGTGGTAGTGGATACGAGAACAAAAAGGTTACATTGCTTACTCAACTCTTGGTAAATTTGGGCTGACAATCTTTGTACCAGGTACTTGACTGATTATTACCTCTTAACCTGACTTTCTACATGGAGAGACCACTTGTTATTTAGAGTATTTGTAATTCTGAACATACTAGTAAATGAGGTAGAGGGTGCAGTTATGTCTGTAAACATTTTATTTATGGGTTTTTGCTTCTTTTAAAGGGACTGTATATAATATTGGTTGTGTTGGTTTTGATTCTATAAAATTATTTGCTTTCAGTTTGTCAGGTACTTTCTGATTCTGTTTCATAGCCACTGTAGTTTCCTTTGTACTCTCAGAACTGTAGGTGCCAAACATCTTTGTGTGAACTTCCACTTATTACTCTGGTTATTGTTGGTTCCTAACTTGGCTGTTACTTTGAAAAGTAGTAATCCTGCCTCAAATTTTTGAACTCTATTTCTTCTAAGGTACTCCATTTCTACCTTAAAAGACGTAGTTCTTTTAAGATAGAAGATGTAATACTTTCAGTCCATACATGGAGGAAAACTTGAAATTCAGGAAGAGTGTGGTTTGTCCAAGATTATGTAACAACTCAGTGGTAAAAAATCAGTTATTGGAACTTCTTAGTCTTACCTTTACCCATTAAATCACATCACATTTATATCTGGCATTCTAAAATGTAACCTCCCGTATTCCTATCCCACTTTCAGAATATAAACACTGCCTCTGTACTTGTTTTAAATATGCTGTTTTTCAGCCCTGGCCCGGGGTGGTCACATTTTGGACTTGCATCCTATAGGGTGTCATTTGAAGTGTCCTGAAATGCCTTGTATAAAGTCCTGTTAATGAAAGCAAAGCTGACAACTGCAGAAAACCCTGTGTATTTCAGTCCACGTGCAGTTTCTAAAAAATACCGGACCGCTTTCAGGCCTCTAATGAAAGGCCTGACATTTTGTGGTTAATTTGCCAGTTGTTTGGAGACCTTTACTTATGCAAGTGATTCTAGATTTAGTATTTAAAGGATTTTTTTTTCCTTTTAAAGTGTTAACCTTGGGTTGAACCCAGTATATTATGGAATATATGTTGGTATCACACAACTGATTCGAACGACTCTTAGACTGCCTCCAGGAACATAGTGAAGTGGGGAGAGATGCAGTAACTCGGATAAATTAGGTGATTGCACTCTGTGAGTCCCTTCTAGGTCTAAAATTTTAATTTATTTATTGATTTTAGAAAGAGAGAGGAAGGGAGAGAAAGAGAAACATCAATTAGTTGTTCTACTTATTTATGCTTTCATTGGTTGATTCTTGTATGTGTCCTGACTGGGGATCAAGCGAGTTGTAACGAACTGAGCTACCTGGCCAGGGCATTTGTTCTGTTTTATTATTCACTTAACTTATGTACAGGTTGCCCAAATCTCATTTGATTATTTTGCCACATAAATATACTTTATTTTCCTGAGTATATTCATTTTACTTTATTGTCTGGTAACAGCCTTTGAAATGTTTCTTAGAAATCTGCTAGTCTTAGGAATTTGTGGCATTTTGGGTCTCTGGGGTTTTATTATTTGGTGCGGGAAAACATAGTAAACCCCAAAGAGGATTGAAGACTAAGGACAACAATAATTAACAACTCCATTACTCTTTTTATTGGAGCCTCACAACAATCTGATGAAGCAGATACTGTGATTCCTATTTTATACAGGAGGAAACAAAGTCTCAAAGAGGTTAAATAACTTGCTGAAAGTCATATAGCTAGAAGGTGGAGCAATACTGCTGGCATAAGATGATCACATTGCAAGGAGAACCTGTAAATCCAACTTTTACTTCCCACTGGTGATTTTTTATTAGTAATTGTAAAATATAATTACGTCCTAGAATTAAGCAGAGAAAATCTTTAAAGCTGGTTTATTTTCCTTTTTAGAGTGCTCAGTTATGTTATGGGAGGTGGGATGGGAAGGGGGTAGAATCTTGGCATTTGTGTTATGTATATAGGGTGGGGCAAAAGGTGGTTTATAGTTGTGAGTATGGGAAACAGTTTATTCTTGTATTATTATTTATTAACTAGGGGCCTGGTGCACGAATTCGTGCACTGTGGGGTCCCTCAGCCTGGCCTGCGGAATAGGGCTGAAACCGCCTCTCCAACATCCCCCAAGGGGTCCCAGATTGCAAGAAGGCGCAGGCCAGGCCAAGAGACCCCACCAGTGCATGATCGGGCCCAGGGAGGGACACGGGAGGTTGGCCAGCCAGGGAGAAACCACAGGAGGGCTCCAGAGTGTGTCCAGACCGTCTCACTCAGACCCAATCATCCAGACCCCAGCAGCAAGCTAACTTGGTCGGAGCATCTGCCCCCTGGTGATCAGTGCACGTCATAGCAAGCGGTTGACAGGCCTTAGCATATCATTAGCATATTACGCTTTGATTGAACAGCCAACCGGCCGACCACACACTTAGCATATTAGGCTTTTATTATATAGGATTATTGTATTATTTGCCATACAAACAACTGTAAACCTCCTTTTGTCCCACTCTATCGCAGTTGTGTACTTTCGGTTCTAATTGCATGAGGCTTTTGATTATTTGAAAATAAATTCTGAGGACTGTGTAAGGGCTTCACAAAAGCTGTTCTTGGCATCTTTTCTCTCAGTCTGGTTTAAGGGACAGATTGGGAAACTTTTTTCTTCCTTCTTTTTAAAAAGAGGAATGAAAAACACACTTGACTGACACTTCCTCCTCAGCTACAGGTCAGTCTGACTTTAGTTTGATTTAATTCCTTTTGTTCTTTTTTTTTTTTTTTTAATATATTTTATTGATTTCTTACAGAGAGGAAGGGAGAGGGATAGAGAGTTAGAAACATCGATGAGAGAGAAACATCGATCAGCTGCCTCCTGCACATCTCCCACTGGGGATGTGTCCGCAACCAAGGTACATGCCCTTGACCGGAATCGAACCTGGGACCCCCCAGTCCGCAGGCCAACGCTCTATCCACTGAGCCAAACCGGTTTCGGCTCCTTTTGTTCTTTATAGAGAACCAAGTAAACATTCTTCTCAGGTGGCTGTAAGGAGTGTATCAGGAGAAAAGTCCTATATCCTTTTTTTGAAAAAATATATTTTATTGATTTTTTACAGAGAAGAAGGGAGAGGGATAGAGAGTTAGAAACATCGATGAGAGAGAAACATCGATCAGCTGCCTCCTGCACGCCCCCTACTGGGGATGTGCTCGCAACCAAGGTACATGCCCTTGACCGGAATTGAACCCGGGATCCTTCAGTCTGCAGGCTGACGCTCTATTCACTGAGCCAAACCGGTTAGGGCGTCCTATATCCTTTTAAAGAAACACAGGCAAATATTTTTCTTCAAGCAAAAGAAAAACTGTGCAATTGTTTTAGTCCCTTTGACTTCTTGCCATCAGTCAGACTTTCTCTTGTTTGAACTTTCAGTGTGTTTAGGTCCCTGGGAATTGATAGACAAGCTCTTTGATAATTCTGAGCTTTAGTTTTTTTTAGATTTCTTGAAAACTGGTATTTATAGAAGCTCTTATATCTTCTTTTTGATACCTGTAGAAACTCCAGGTTGCATCACAGTTTTC